TTAGCCTAACCAGGCCTGTTAGCCTAACCAGGGACGAAGGCTGCAAATTAGCTCATGGCTACAAGCCTTATGTACTTGGACATCGGCCACCTGTTTGGTTGCAATGTTTAATTGTACTGTCCCTGTCAAATAAACAAATAAATAAAATTATATCTCTTTGGAAAAATGAGATAAAATCTTATGTTAAACCTTTAGAATTTGTAAGAACAATAAGTGCTGGTAATTTTCTTTCTTTTGTGAGTAAATTTAATCTGCTGGTTTAATGCCCTGTTCTTGAATCTATGTATAATATAATGTTGCCCCTTTTATTATTATTATTATTTTATTTTTACTATTATTATTGTTCCCTCTCCGTTTATATTTGGTCTTCCTCTGAATTAAGATATGCTTTATGCACTTTCTTTGAATGCAATGAATGCAGTTCTGTACTGGTACCTGGTGTAACGTACATCGGTTAAATAAAATAAAAAAATAAAAAAAACTCCACCTGGGTTAGGGGGGTAAAGGTCAAAGGTCACGACTCAGAGCCAATCTGGTTCATAGGCATTATATACGTAGACGCCTCATTGGAAGCTGGCTGACATGCTGAGAGGGCGGCCATCTTGGATCAGACCACAGTTCAGACAGCTGCTGTCAGAATGAGCAGGGTCGCCTTAGATCTGATTTTAATCACATGAAAGACGAGTCAGGGATAATATTAAATTAATCTCTTACATGTCACAAATTCTTAAAAGCCCAAAACAAATTTTAGCAGTTAGCAAGATTAAAAAATTATCTTACAATATATTAATATAAAACTTTGTGTTTATCATTAATATTTATTTGCAAAATATATAAATTTGCATATATCTCATTTAGTTTAAATAGGTTTTAATCTGAATAAATCTGTGTAATCTAACTGAAAGATAATTTTAACATTTCTTTTGGGCTTTTAAGTGGTTGTGACGTGTCAGAGATTATTGTAATTTTTTCTCTGACTCGTTTTCCATGTGATTAAATGAGATCTAGGCGCCTCCTCTCCATTCTGACAGCAGCTGTCTGATCCAATATGGCCGCCCTCTAGGCATATTGACCTTGCTGCCCACAGCATCCAGTGAGGCGTCTATGTAAGTAATGTCTGGCTGGTTGAAGGAGAAAAGGGGACAAAATGGCTGCAGGAGTGAGATTAAAAAGCTACTTCTGGGAATCAATCCCAGCGGTCTAGTCAAAGTCCAGACCTCAGTCTGCTCTAAATATGGGGTCTTTAGGAAACTGAGCAGCACCTCTGTGAACTGAAGAATCACAGGGAGGCAGAGTGGACCAGAACCGAACCCAGACTAAGACGCGCGTTGGTGCTGGACGAGGTTCTGCTGATGGAGGAGGACATGGTGGACTGGGAGGTCTGCTGTTCTGGTCCAGTTAGCTCCAACATTCCTCACCTGAGGAGATCCATTGGATCAACCTTCCAACCCTGAACAGGAAACAGGAATCCTGATCCCACCCTGAATTCTCAGTCATCCGGGTCACGGCGACCACTAAACTGGAGGCAACCGGACTTTTAGCGGACGGTTTAGCACCTATCCTGGTGGCTTTGTCTTGCCGTCGGCTCCACCAGGAGGCCCATCCTCCTCAGCGCATTCCCAGTCAGATGCTAACCTCAGTTAGCATCTAACAGGTGTTTACCTGCTCTGGAATTCCCTCTCAGCTATAAACTGCTGAATGCAGAAGCAGTTTGGCCCGGTGGGATCCGGGCAGGTCGGACGCTGCTGGTCCTGCAGAGAGACAGCAGACGTGATGGATCCTGGTTCTGATGAGCTCCAGCTGAGAGCGGCGTCTGTGATACGTTACCTGGTTCTGACGGTTCTGATTCGGCTCTTCTTCCCTCTGCTGTTCTTCTCTGTAGAAACCTTCAAACTGGCTGAGGTCAAAGTTCTCCAGCAGAAGCTCCTCAGGAAGCGCAGAGGTGACTGTGATGAAGCCCACGACGCGTCCTTCCTCCTTTGGAGACTAAAGAAAACCAGAACCAGAACCCATCACCTTCAAGGATTTTCTCTTAATGGGTTCTCATTCCTGCTCCGGTTCCTGAATGTTCCTGATCGGGATCATGGGAACGTCTCTAATGGTTTAGAAACCTGGAGAACAGGGGCGGATTTAGGAAATCTGTGGCCCTAGGCAAAGACAGGCAGGGGGCCCTCTGAACAGAGAAGACAACACATAGAACAGACATTTCTACAGATATAGAAATGATAATAGAATAGACATCCATTATCTGTTCTAGGTTGTGTCCCTCTCTTCTTGTCCCTTTTCTTCTCTATGTTTTGTTCTCAGCTGACTTTTAATGCTGTCTCTAAAGGAATGAACCGGATCAACGGATCTGATTCTGCTGATTCTTTCTGAACCTCTAACCTGCTGCAGAAATGACAGGTTCTAAGTGGAGCGCCGAGGAGCGGTCCAAACCACCAGGGACGGCGCTGCCCCTGCGGTTCTGAGCAGAGTCGCTGGAGGAGCCCAGAAATGCTTCTCTTGTCTGGACTCCATATGTTCATTGGGAGCGTGCGTTGGCCGAGCGTCAGTCCGCCATCTGCTGCTGTCAGTCAGAGCGCCTGCCGGGGAGGCGGTTCTGTCCGGTCCGGTCCTGAGGGAACCGCTGCTGTTCTTACATTAGATCACATAGAAAGAGAGGAACGGACCTCCAGAAGGGTAGCATGGCAGTTCTGGTTCTGTATCAAGTCCATCAGTGCCGGCAGCTCCGTCTCCTGCCGTCTGACCATCAGCATGATGTCATCATAATCCGCAGCCCTGTAGCACAGAGACACACAGCACAGTTACAGCTTCACTGTTTCACTGTTCTGACCCGGTTTCAGGTCCGTAAAAAACATGGTGAAGCGTCTAACGAGTCCATCTGGACCGGCTGGAGGAACTTCAGCGGAGAGGCTCAGACATCAGGTTGTCTCTACAGGACTGCAGTGCCACCAGTGCAGAGCTTGCTCAGCAACGGCTGCCTCTGGCCAGGAGGAGCATCAGAGGAAGGTGACCTCCTCTCCGATCACTGAACAAAAAGCTAAATAAGAACTAGATGTTGGCTGTTACTGTACCCATTTATGT